TATTCATTATATACACACATTTTACAAAAGCATTCCACGGTTCGGCCTAAATAAATTCTCGGCCTAATGCAATACCTTACCGAGGAGAAGCCCGATTAGGGCACGCGAAAGTTCTTCATACGCACTTGCACACATGCCACGCCAAGCAAATAAGCAACACGTCACGCTACAAGCTTAAGTGGGCCCAAGCTACTCAAATGCCCGGGGCTTGCTTGAGTGGGTTGTGGTATGGATGGTAATAAATCAACATGAGGCCCATTTATGGGCCGAGAAATGGAAGCCCCGAGTCGCTTGGGAGCCTCGGGACTCAAGCCCATTTCTTAGGCCCAAACATGTGGGTGAGCACAAGAGGAAGAAATAGCCCAGTCAAAATAGCCTATGAACCTTACCAAAAGCCCAAATGTTTAATGAAAATAGCCCAATCAAAAAGTAGCATATTGACTCAACCAAAAAGCCCACTTACTTAATGAGCCATCTTGGCCCATACAATTACCACAGCTGGTTGGGAGAACAAAAGCCACGAAGAAGGAGGTCTGAAGGTTTATTGAGTAAAGCTGCTGGAGGTTCCAGCACATGGGAGAGCAAGTTCCAAGCAAAAATCCTTCAAGGAACCAAGGGATATTAGCACGCAAGGAGGGATGCCATCCCTTGAACCAGCATACAAACCCAGTTTCTTTCCTTCATCAAATTTGGCCATGGAAAAAGGAAGAAAGAAGATAAAGAAGATGGGTGAAAATAGAGGCTCTCTTCTGAAGCAGCCAAGGGATGGAGCCTTGAGCCCCCAAAAGTCTCTGATTTTGTGGGATTGGACAGAGCTAATTGTTGCCACCATAAGGTAAGTCAAGGGGGAGGAGAAGAAAGAAGGAGGAAAGCTTAGCTAGATTGGGAGGAAACCATTAGGGTTTCTTGGAGAAGAGCAAATCCCAGCAGCTATAAATAGGACCCCTCTCTACCCAACACAACACACACTTGGGAGAGCAAGCTTCCTCTCCTACCTGCAAGCTCAGTAATTTTCATGCTTTGCTGGTCTATCACCCTTATTCCCCTCATTTTTTCCTCTTCTGGCAGGCTGCTCAGAGTCACCGATGAGCTGCCGGAAGTGATACTAAAGTCACCCATTTCTCTCTTTCCCTCAATCTCAACCAAACCTGTCTGCAAAACCCTTTCCTCTCCTACCTTAATACCCCATCTTTCCCCTAGAAACACTTAATTTTCCCTCAGTGCTAAACTCATGTTGATTTTGCTTCCATGCCACATGCCTCTCATGCAAAGCCCAAGATTTTATCTGTAAGCATGAATAAATTATCTGTAAGTTGCTGTTGTTTTGGTTGGTGAAGGTAACCAAAATACTTCCTAAGGCCCTGCTGCCCTTTCGAAGCATTTTGGGGCTTAATTTTCGAACTCAGACAAAGGGGACAATTTCATTAGCTAAGCCCACCTGCCGCCGGAAGAAAAAGACCCCTACACAAATCTTATTATATGGCTTTAACTATATCAATTCATTTCAACCTTATTTAATATTCATTAGAGCATCTCCAACCGATATGTTAAAAGTGTCATATAGATATTTAACGGCTAGAAATAACATCTCACATCACTCCAACCGAATTGTCAAAGCTGATGTGGAATAAAGACTGGAGGTTTAGCTATTATTTTTGACATCCCAAAAGCAAGATGTCAAATGAATATTTTATTATTTTTTAAAGACAACTGGCTGTAACTTTCATTTTTTATTTTCCTTTTTTATTCTTTCCTTTTTTTCTCTTTACAGTTTATTTCCTACCGTTGAAGAATTGTTTTTTCCTTCATGGTGCTGGCTTCAACAAAGATGAGGATCGTCTTCTTGTTAGTGCGTGGTTAAACACTAGTATGGATGCTATACATGGAAATGAGCAAAAACATCAAACTTTTTGGGCACGAATTTGGGAATATTACAACCAAAATAAGTGGTTTGAAAGTAGTAGAACTGACCGAATGCTATCTCAACGGTGGCAAAAAATTCAAAAGGAGGTCAATAGATTTTCTAGGTGTAATAAAATAATAATTTAATTTGACATATCGGATGGAGTGTAAAACTGTGTAAGATGTCCAATTGCCACATCAGCCATCAAATTTAAATTTGATGTTTGGTATTTGACATCTCCCTTGGAGATGCTCTTATATACACACACTTTACAAAAGCATTTAGAAAGGTTTTTTTTTTGTTGTTGTTGTTGCTTACTAAGCTTTCTCTTATAGATTGACATGTTGCATTATGGAGTCCTCAAAAACCAATTAAAGTATGAAGTGGTCTATATTGGCATGAGGTGTAAGAACAATAGGTATTCTTATATATATAAACTTAATTGGGGTGGCAGTTTACCTTCAAGCCACCCAAGTAGTCTAGCAACCTATAGGCTAGGTATGTGGCACAATATTAAGCTTTATCTATATATCTTTGCCGACTCTAGCTTACTATAAATAGCCCTACCTAATGGTTCTTGGATCATAGGTTCTTCAAGTTGTGTTAGTTTCCTAAACATCGTAGACAAGAGGAAAAAAGAGAGTGAGAACTAAGTGTGGTGAGATTTTGGAGAAGCTCAAAGTGTTTGGACTTACAACTGGGAGTTATACAATAGCTTTGGATTTGAGGTAGGGGTTTTTCTTGGGGAGGCTTTACATAAACTGATTTAATTAAATATTATGAACACTATATTATGCTTGGTAATATTATTTGATTATTATCCTTGATATTGAGTGTTTACATGTTGTCAATTATCATTATAATTTGATTAATATTGACATGTTCATATATTGTCGGTGGTGGTTGGAATTCTTGGGTTGATAAAAAAATTATGGAAAAGAGGGTAATGGGAAGGATCTTTTGTGTAGTTGAGTCTGACCATTGTAGGGACCAAGTTCAAGTGAGCCCGTGTGCACAGTAGACTAGGAAATCGGCGGTATAATTGTCGATTGGGTGATTTGGGCTTGGAGATCAATGGTGTGGACAAGATGACTAGCAAAAGGAAAATTATGGGATAATTGAGAAGGGTGTTAGTTTATATAATGGGGCATTCGGAATCACAGTGGTAAAATGCATGGTATGGGACATGCAGATTTGCTTGCCCTATTATATAGATTAATGAGTTGGGTAAGAATTGAAATTCATTCATGCATTACATAAATTGTGCATTATAAATCTCACTAATCACATAAGACATAGGACCCCTACTGAGCATGTAGTGCTCACCCCTTATTGAATCTATTGCAGGTTTTGAATATGAAGTTTAGTTTGTCACGTGGAAACAAGAAGAAAGAGTTGTGGATAGATTTGGATGTTTTGTTAAAAGCCTGTACTTTCCTGTTATTTTACAATGTAAATTACTTTGGTTTAAATAGAAGTTTATGTTCAGTTCTCTTGTTTCTTGCTATTTAAATTTTTAGTTTTAGTTTTTCTTTTACCTCACACTTCCAATAAAAAATTGGGGTGTGACAATTAAAGTTTCGATTTTCTTTTTAAGATGAAACAATGAAAAAAAAAATTGAAAAACACACCAAACTTATTCCAATTAACAAAAACATCATTCAATAAATCAAACTCATATATGTAATATGTAAACCATAAATTTCATCAAAATAATAACACCAACCCAAATAATAAATAAACTCACCCAAAAATCCAAATAATAAAATACCTTGAATGTTACAAAAAAAAAGAGGGAGAACAGTGAGTGTTAAACAGTTGAACTTAAGGTCCTTTTTAATTTAAAGACCACTATGGTAAGTAATATTTTTATGCTATTGATGTGTACTTTTAGTATTTATAGGTCTACCCAACAGAATTAAAAAAATATTTAACAAACCCTAACAAATATCTTCCCTGTTTTTTAAAATTTGTGTCAGGCGCTTCTTTCTTCTCCCTCTCAATCTTCTTCTTCCTCCTCCCCTCTCTCTCTTGTTCTTCTTCCTCTCTATTTCTTCTCCCTAGCAACTTGTATCTTCTTCTCCATGGGGTCATCTCCCATGGTTGCCAAGAGAAAACCAAGGACCTCCAAGTTATTTCCAGGGCTGCCATGGGGTCGTCTGACTCCATTAACCCCATGGTGGATCTGCCACTACTTCTCAGCGCATTTTGACACGTCACCAAGGCTAAAGAAGCAAACACCAAAGCACAAGATCAATAACATAGCACAAATGTTGGTCTCTCACTCTCTGTGATGCATGCATTGTCTATGGAAAACCGGTCTAGCTAGCTCTCCAAAATTTGAAAATGCGCCCTAATAACTTGGGATGAGACTTTGTTGAAAATTTTACAAAATAGTTCAAATTATTATTGACAGGACTTGTCTCGAATTTTTCCTTGGAATCAGCGACGAACCCTATGTTTGTCCGACAACTAGAAGATGTCGGCCTATATTACTAAAATGCCATTCTTGCCCTAATTCCAAAACAACCTTAGAGTTGGACTTCTATAGGAAAAACAGCAGAGTCTCCCTTTAAAATGAATCCACCTACACAGAAAACACAATTTACACCCCAATCGTTCAGCAAGCACAAGATATAAGTCAACTACACTCTAGTAACAATTCTAATGGGTCTCAGCCTCCTTTTCACAACCATAACCAATAATCAATCCAAAGTGGGTCTTTAACCCTCAATTCAAAATACCACATAATCAAATCATAGTAGTTATTCTCGACGTAAAAGAATATAGCGTAAAGTATTTAACGTTGCGACTGCACCTAAGTTGCCTTAAGTTGCCTACTTACCATTCTCAAGGCATCAAGCCACACATAATTCTTGAAAAGTTCTAAATTTACATATCTAACAAGAAAAACACCAAGAATCACTTATAATTCCAAGGTAACCAAATGCAAATAAAGACCCAATGAACCAGTAATAACTCAATGATCATGGTGGTCGTTCTCGAAAATAATGACTTTTCAAAAAAGTCGAAAATGAATCTCAAAGATTCTGAAATTTCAATTTTGCCCATTGTACTTTGGAAAACCACGGAAATGCCCCCTTTATATATAATCCCTAAAGAAATTTTATTTTTTGAAATTCATTCAAACGCCGCACCCTCCACGTCCACAAATGTTGCTCCGGATGGAACTATGAATATGGCTGGCGTGCTGTTGGTTTTCTAAACCAGCTTCACGTTCTGGGACTTATAGACAGCCAGCCACAATGATAATTGCCTGGTACATTGAATACAACAACCACAGCATCACGGTGGTTCAGCCGCCACAATGAGGTGAAGAATTTGATATGGAATTAAATTAATGGCAATTTGAATCTGACAATGCTGTTGAATTTTACTTGCTATAACCCTCTTGCTTCTATGTGTAGCAATGTCTTGAAATTTTTGGGCGTTGAATAGTTTGCACTGCAGATAGCATCTGAGCGGCTCAGGGGTTCTTCAAAACTGTTCACAGTACTGCAGTTTCAATTAAAGAGTAAGTTCTGCAATTACTCAATCTTGATAGAAAAAGTTGGAATAAATTTTCAAAAGATTTTAATCTTATGATGGATAATCTTACATTTATGAATATAGTAAGCAATGAAATTATGGAAGTAGGGTCTAGATTTCTTATTTTGGGCATGAATTTTGCTTTATTCAATGAAAAGCTATATGATATCAGAGAGGCAAAGAACTTTTTTTTCATTACGGAAAATGTGCTTTGTCCCCCTTTCCAAATAGGCTATATATATTCCCTAGTATTTGCTAACATTGGCTTCTGTCACGGCCTTGTGAGCTGACAGGTTTTCCCAAATTCTCTTGAGAGCTTTTCTTTCTTTTTTGGGTAATAGAATATGGGGCCACACAAGCAAGTACTTGTGTTCGTGGGTGTTTGGGTTTGAGACATAAACAAAAGTCTGTACTCTACTAAACTAAAGAGGATTTGGGTGTCGGGCATGCATTTGTCTTTTGGAATGGTAGATATTCTACTTTCCAACAGTAACGAGGCAAATGATAAAATATGGCGATTTGGAACATTTGTGTGGCATATTGATAAGCAGTTGTATTTAGTATGTACAGATTAAGCTGCAAGATTCATACGAATCAGTATCTTTAATCTGGTTTTATACCAGTGTAAAACCATGGCATTTTTCCAGATTCTGCAAAAAATAGACTCAATATGCTATAGGAAGGTTCAATTTAGTAAGCTAGAGGCACCTTTCAACTTCATCCCATCTCTGAAATAGACTCAATATGCTTTAGGAATGGGGATTTCTGGGTTTTAAAAACGAGCAGGGGAATATGCTAAAGGAAGGTTTCAGTTAACAACAACGTATGGTTGATATATGAGCAGTCAAATATAGGAAATCTTGCAAGTTGTTCTAAGAGGATGAATCTGGTTGCTACCTTTCTAACGTAGGAAATATGCTTGGTGTTGTAAGAAATTCCATCAGGGAAGGAAATTGTTACCTTGTAGCTTAATCTGTTTTCACAAATAGATAAATATTAGTGGTTTGCATGCCATATATACATGCAACCATAGCATGGAATAAAAAGATGATGCAAAGATTCAAGAGTACTAGCACTAGATTCCTATAGAATTGGATCTAATGTTATAGTCATAGTAACACATGACGGCAACATTTGTGCCTAGAACCAGTTTGTAAGGACAATTTCAGGAGATAATGGAAACAATCTTACAGGGCAACATATATATAGAGGATTGATTATCATGCTGAGAAAACAGAACTAAACTTGTATCGTGTTATCATTATAATACAGATGTGTGAATTATACATCCATATTCGAATGCAGAATTCAATAACACCCAAGATCTTCATGAATCAAGCAGCCAATGACTATCTATAAGGTACATGCACTAGTTTGGGACTTATCATGCTTCCTAGAATTTATAGTAAATCTTGGTTCTCACTGAAATTTATAATGCATTCTCAGGTACTAAACAGAGTGCAATTGTGCAAGTGGCGGGTCATCAGTTTATATCAAAGCAGCATTCATATCAGGATCAGCCAATCCTAAAAAGATGTCCAAACATAAACAAGGATGCATATCCCTTGCAGCAAGTACAGATGCAAAAGGAATGCATGAAGTCATGGCTCAAAGCAGCATTCATATCAGGATCAGCCAATCCTAAAAAGATGTCCAAACATAAACAAGGATGCATATCCCTTGCAGCAAGTACAGATGCAAAAGGAATGCATGAAGTCATGGCTCAAAACTGAGCTCCTAACATATACCACAAGTGTATATCGAATAATTCTAATGCCACAAGTACGGTAAGAAATCTGAAATTAACACACCAGATTAAAACCAGGACAATTGTAGTCTTCAAAGAAAAGAGAAAGAAAGCAGGATAAATGTGTGATGCTTAGTCTGTGCCAGAAGAGACTCCACTTCCATCACCCCCTTCTTCTTCTTGTCTTCAGCTGCAGCATCCATCATAGACCGGTCTGTAACCTCACCAATGTGAAGAACTAGTCCAACTGAGTTAGGCTCCACGGCTGTTGAAGGGCTGTCCTCGGTCTCAGGCACAATGCCAGCCTCATCCTGAAGCAAGATTGAAACATAGGTATTCATCTTTCAACAACAAAATAGATCACATACATAAGAATTTCATACAATTAATCTTAACTACGCTTTATTTTACGAAAGAAACAGTCTCTTTACTTTACATAGAGGACTGTGTACTGCACACCAACTAGTACTCCAAAGAGAGAAATCATGCTTTTGGCCACAGTTTACTCAATGCTATGCTACATCCTGTCATGCTCTGTTACTCGATGCTAAAACATATATATATAAACGTAATTATTGACTAAGCACGTACATTTATACAGACAAATTCTTCTCATTACCCAAGTAAACCCAAATCAACAAAGTTCTTACAGTTAAAGTAGACCCAAATATTTTACAAAAAACTTAAAAAGGCTTGCTGTAAAAGTAAAACTCGAAATTGTTTACCAAGCTGTCAATTAGGCCTCTAATACAAGGTAACGGAATGTTACCGTCGGCAGTAGCCTTGCCGGGGCTCCAGCCCGGTGCCGGAGTGGGAAAAACCTCAGGTGGTGCTGGAGGCATGCAGAAACTCAAAGGGTTTGTGCATAATCCCATATCTTCCATTACCTTGAGCACCTGGAATGGCAGAGTAAGGTAATTCCACATCTTGACGGACTCCAAGTGATCGACCCAGGATGCAGGGCTCGCATTTTCGAGGTACTCTTGCGCTTCTTTCTCCTTGCCAGCTTTGAGCAGGTAGCAATGCACAATTTTGATGAAGCGTTTGTTGCTGGCCACCCGAACCTGCTCCACGCAGTCCTTGAGAAGAGCAGAGTCAACTGGACTGGGGTTAATCTTGTCGGCTGAATCGCTTTTATCGACAGCAGTTTGTTCTGCAAGAGCCTTCTCCAGACAAGAGTGTGAGAAGCACTTTTCCAGTATGAGAAGCATTTCTTCTTTGTTCAGGAGAAACAGTTCCGGGATCAGATCGAGTTCTTTGAAGTGAGATTCCATTAGGCTTGCAAGAACATAAGCGTCTGGCTTGAGAGGGGTCGACATCACTGTTGAATTCTTGGGTTTTGGATTTTGGGTTTTTGGAGAAGAAAGGCTATGGTGGTGGGGTTTGAAGAAGGCACACGCTGAGGCTTTGTATTTGTAGAAAGAGTCATATTATTATAAACTTTGAGAATCAACTTTGATCCCTGTCCTCATCAAAGAGAGAGACACTTCTGGGCCTACCTCTGCTCTCTCCCTCCTCGAATCAAATAAATTACTTTATTGTTTTGAATTTTTTTTATTTAAAATGATTTTGGCATTTGATATAGCTTTGTCGGAGAAGAAAGAAAACTAAAACAATAATAATACAGATGGTCATCTTCTTGAACAAATAAAAATAGAAGGCTAATTTTAGTTTACCAAGTTTCAATCTTTCATACACGAAATTATTTTCATCTAAGTCTCGTGCCTAATGTTTTTTTTCGTCTCAATCTCATACCTAACACTTTCATATATCCATTAGTGCTTTTGTTAATCCCTCCATTAAAACGCTTATGTGGCAATCAATGAATCCACATGGACCATACATATTGCGCCATGTGAACTGGAAAAAGAAAAAGGAAGCAAAATTATCTAATTAAAAAATATATATAAAATGGTAAAAGACAAAGATTTATTTTAAAAAAAAATAGATGGACAAACTATAAAAGACCCCCCAAATTATAGGGTCATTTTCAAGTTCATACACACATTTAGGGATATTTATAAGTACATACTCTAACTCATGAAAAACCTACAATTTCAAAGTATGTTTTGTTTTTCCAAAGTAAAATTAAATGTTTTGAAAAGACAATGTCAATTTATCAATCTTGAAAAAAAACCAAGATATTGCAGCTTTGATGATTGAGTTTGATAAAGATGGTGTTGGAGATAGTTTTGATGATATGACTGACTTATTTTAGCATTCCAAAGTTGTTAAAGAGATTATTGAATATGATAATGAGGAATTGTATTATTCAACACAAGTCCGTAAATTACACAAATTAAAATTTAAAAAATTGCTCCCGTAGACAAGGTAATTTGTGCTATAAATGAGGAGACAAAATCATATGTTGCTGATGATTTCCAGATTGTGCAGAAATATGACATCTAGCATGCTTCATGGGTTTCGGGAGACTTTTATTGTACGAAGAAAACAAAAAAGGAATTCCAATGACTGCCACGTGACCAGGGCAGATGGTGTGCTGTAATAAGGCTCGTGTGCCTAAAGGACCAAGCTGAACCGTCCTGATACCGCCACGTCGCCAAGGTAGAGTGGGTGACTATATTCTTTCCTCTTTTGTTCAATATTTAATTGCAAATTGTAAATGCGCGCTCCAGACCGCCAAACCTTGTCTGCATCACAACTTGCACAATGCACGTGTCCTCCATCCAACGTTTGATGGATGATTTCTCAAGCGCGCGCAACCGTTAAAATGCCAGCGGGTCCCGCTGGTACCAGTGCGCTGCCCGTTCACACCAAAAACCAGAATAAGATTCGTCCTGACTGAATAGTTAGCAATCCTAGTCCCCTGTCCTATTTATTTGGATCATATAAATAATAAAAACACTTCCCTCTTTCCGTTAATGAAAGTTTTTCTTCTTTGTATTTTTTATAAATTATTTTTATTTTTACACATGCGAGTTACACCGTGATTTGCAAGAATGAGTAATATCTCATTTCAAAGAATAAGGCAAGCAGTCCTTTATTTATAGATACGTAAATGAATATCAAAATTATCATAGATGATATGATTCACTTGTATTTTTGATATTTTAAAATAAATAAAAAAAGTGTTTCGCTTATATTTATATCTGAACTAAACATGATATGGGAGAAATTTTGAGAAATAGGTGAATGGTTCTTGGTTTCTCTATCAAGAATGAGTTAGAAACAAGTGTGATGGATTTTTTACCAATTATAATTGAAAGCGGAGACAACCGTCTTTATTCTTCGCAACAAACAACAAAATCAATAAAATATACCCAACAAAATTCAGGTCAGCATCAAGACAAAAAACCATTTATCAAAAGTCATCATGATATGATGATAAGATTCAGTCTAGTACAATTTTAGAGTGGCAGAAATAATTAATGCAAAAAAGTACATAAACAAATTCAACAACAAGTGGACAGGATCTTCTATGGATTCAGGCTGCTGGATTTATCAAACTATCAACCACCTATCCAAATTTCAGTTTCAAAGAAAAGTTTGTGAAACATGCTTCTCTCAATTAATTATTTTCTCTATGATCAAGAGCATACATAACACAATACATATGGAAAGTGGAGGAGACAAGACAACTCCATCACTCTCTTCTTGTACCCAAACCTCTACAATACAAACAACCCCAGCAAAGCAGAACGAACACGGGGATTTTCAGGCCTTGAAAGAGCATAGTTACACACATAAAAAACCTTCCAGTATATAAAATTAAATTAAAACAAAAGGGATTTTTCGGAGGATTGATTCAGTATGATGAGTCAGAATCACAGGACATGTCCTCCTCCTCTGCTTCATCAATAGGCGCCTTGTCCCGAGCCAGCGTTTTATCCTCATCCATACAAAGAACCCCGCCGACGCCGTGGCTGGGCTTCTTCATCGGCAGAACATAGGGACAGGGGTCGTCCTCGTCCACACCACCAAAAGCCACTGCCTTGCGCTTCGCCATGTTGCTCTGCTTCTCATAACTAACATCATAGTTGCGACCATCGGACTGAAAATTTTGAGTGAACAGAGCATAAAAAGAAAGAAAACAAGATAGCCAATGCAATCAAGTTGAAGTTTACCAAGTAGTACTTAGAGAGTGTACCAAAGTTTCGTTGTTGCCGTTATAATTGGCGCCGGCACCGTATGCAGCAGCAGCAGTGACATGACAACCAATATGAGTATGGTTATGGGCGGCCACCCACCCTTGTTGTGGAATGGGAAGCAACTGCTGCGGCGGCGGGAATTGAACATCATCGGATTCGGAGCCGATTGGGGCCTCAACGAGGCCTTTGGCAACGAGGACCTTCAGAATTTCGGCTCTCAGGGTGAGAATATTCCATATACGAATCGAATCAAGGTTTCCGATTTCGGCTTCAGTTTTGCTGATCAGAATCTTCCTGTACTCCACCACCTCATCATCACTCCCGTACTCGCCCAGGTACCACACCACGTAATCAGTGAACCGGGAGATGTTCTGGCTCTTGATTTCTCCCACGAACTCCGTCGCCGGCGCTGTCTCATTCGGCGGCGAGACATTAAGATCCGGGATATAATTGGGTCCCCTGTTTGGTGCGGGGTCCACAAAATTCTGGTCACCATCCTCAGCCGGCACCAGAAAACAGAAATCTACCACTTGCGGGCGGCTGCTGCTGCTTTGGCGTAAGGCCCTTTTCAACCGGAACGCCATGATTGCAGACATAGCGTCTTGTCGGGTAGGTCCATTGAATGGGATAACAGTCAGAAGGACCTCCTCCGGCCTCAAACTACTACCTCTGCCGCCGCCGCCGTATACCGCCGCGTACACCGTCGGCTGTGGTCCCCTGAAGCTGAAAGCAGCATTTGGCGCCACGATAGCAGGTGAGGCTCGACTGGTTGGTGTTTCGGTTCCAGCCCCTCCAATGCTACTGCTTGCTTCAACCTCTGCAGCTCGGGTCGTTGGCAGGACTTCTCTTAGGTGGTGGAGGAGTAAATTGGCAGAAGAAAGTCTGAGAAGAGAAGCCATGGCCATTTCTGCGATAGCTAGCTAGCGCAGAGAGAGAGGCGAGATGTGGTTCGGGTGAAGAAATGGAGCTTGTTTGTTTATATAGAGCAAGGTGGGTCGCACTGGGTGCGCCGGTCTCATTTGTAGGAAACGTCAAAGGACTCGATGTCGAAAAAACTTGCTTGCACCGGGGATAGGACAATCCTATCCCCCTCCAATCGCAGCCCGCCACGTGTCCATATTTTGTCAGAAAATGAATACATGACGAGCCTATCTCCGGTGCAAGCAAGTTTTACTCATTGGATGTTGCCGACCATTTACTTTGCTTAGTATCGTTAACTCACTGATTGGGAACCACGTGAGGATTGGAGAAATTGGTTTTGGAACCCACTAATGTGCAACCATTAGTAGTGTAATTACCTAAGTTTTATTAGTGTGTGTTACGACTGTAGCAATTGTACAAGTTTCCTCAACTTGGATGACTGCAGCTAATGGGGGTTGAGCTAAATGAAAAAATGTATTGACTTGTAAATTAGAGGTTTCAAATTCGAATCTCTACGGCATCATAGTTGTATGCGTGAGAAATCATCTTCCCTATAGTTTATACCATCGCTTATACTAAAAAAAATTTAAAAATTTGGATGATTTCTGCACACACAAATTATGTTCCGCCACCCTTCTCTCAAAAGTTGACCACAAACTTATTAATCATTTTTCTAGAACATGATGTGGAGCCCCAACACCAAACCTCAAGTGGGTGGCAATTTGGTTCTATCACTTTTAGAACAAGCTCAACTTCAATTGGGAAGCCGGAACATGAAAGTCAGTCACCCACAATCAAGTCAAAAATGGTTCAAAAAGCTCAATTTCAATTGGGAAGGAAAAAAAATAAAAGAGAAATAGTTTGATACGACGGTAAGCTGTAAGATGTGTTCTTTTGTTATGTGATCATGTGTCTATTACGCGTCCAAAACCATTTTAATATTTTGTATAATATAGTTTAATGAATTGATGAAAGCAAGCATATTGCATATTGCATATGCAATCTCTAGATTCTCTAGTTTAATGAATTGATGAAACCATTTTATATTCTGTTAATTATTTCTGTAACCTGAATTTGCGCTTTCTTTCTCTATCATTTCGCCTGGCTTTTATAAATATAATAGTAGAGATGATCGACAAATATTCTGTATAATAAATAAATAGATTAAAACATAAAATATAGGATTAGCTATTTCTGTTTGTATGGTTGGCGACAAATCCATTTTTAAATGATGAGTGTCCTTCCTTTTCTTCACAAAGGACCTAAGCTTTGTTTTCTATTCATTTTATTTATTTATTTATTTATTTATAAAGAGTAAGACAATGCTGATTAGTTGTCAATAACATAGCAACCAAATGCATGGTGATTGATAAGGCAAAGATTCTTCTCGTAGGACTTCAGTTATCGGACGGTCCTACCATCACTT